ACTGCCCTTTTTTTGGGCATTAATTGAGCTATTCCTATGATTTCCCCCTTTTTATTTATTTTTATTTTTTTAACGAAGTTGAATGTATTATTATTAAACTATTTATCTTCCTGCAAGGCTGTTGCTTCACCATATTAAAAATAGCACCAGCTATTTTGAAAGCACAGTATATTGCAAAATTAAGGTAGTATTCTTTATCTGACACTACAGAACTAACAAACCTTTCTCCACTGCCAGTTATTTCCAATGGATAGATCATTTAAGTATTTTGACTCCAATCCAGGGAGAGATGCAAACAAGTTACGATATTCCCTAAGACTTAAGATGACAGTGTTATCCTTGAATTACATAATTTTTATAACTAGTTTTTAACCACAAATAATTACAGGATTCTGAATGTTATAACTAGAGCCTAGCCTAAAAATCATAAGGTATGGCAAAAAAGATACATGCTATGTTTATCTGCAATCATTAGAAAGTTAAGGGGTGTTTTCTTTCATTAATGTTGTTGCGAGTGATTTCTTTTTGCACTAGTATTGCTAAAAGTTGCTATTTTATTTATTTACTCATTTTTAATTTTTTAATGTTTATTTATTTTTGAGAGAAAGAGAGAGCATGAGCGGGGGAGGGGCAGAGAGAGAGGAGGACATAGAATCCGAAACAGGCTCCAGGCTCTGAGCTGTCAGCACAGATCCCAATGGGGGGCTCCAACCCACAAACCGGAGATCATGACCTGAGCCAAAGTCCCAGGCTCAACGACTGAGCCACCCAGGTGCCCCAAAAGTTGCTATTTTAAATCCTCCATGCACCACTAATTTAAGACAATTATGCTAGATTAAATTGTTTCATACTAGTTTATTTAGGGGTTCCGTTTTCACTCATCAATAGGTTTTATGTATTTCTCATATGCTTCTTCACACATTAATTCATCCAGTTCTGAAGGGTTACTGAGTGTTATCTTGACCAGCCAACCATCTTCATAACAAGATTTGTTGACAAGTCCTGGATTTTCACAAGAGCTTCATTAATTTCAGTTACTTCTCCTGATAGAGGAGAATAGAGTTCACTAGCAGCTTTCACACTTTCTAAAGCACCAAACTCCTCTTGTTTGTTCAATTTTGTCCCAACTTCAGGCAGACTACAGTAAACATCATCTCCCAAAGCTTCCTGTGCAAAATTGCTGATTCCCACTGTTCCAATACCATTTTCTGTTGTTATCCATTCATGTTTGTCTGTGAATTCATGCACAGAGAGCAGAGCAGAGCCTGTGCGCAGCATCCTGATGGCACCCGCGCTCAGCCCCCAGGGCTGAATTTCTGTTACAAATTCTACATCATAACATGCTATTTTAACACATTGTTAGGTTTGGTTAGTTCATGTTATGTTTAGAGTTTTATATCTATATTGATATAAAATAGAACTATATTTTTTCATATAATCTTTGATTTTGGAACAAACTAACTTAGGGAAAATTATGTATTTATTTTTGTTTATCTCTGTACTCAAATTTTCTAGAACATAAATGGAATGCTCCTATATCCATACAGTGAGGTTATCACTCTTCTTTGTCTAATTTCTGGAATCGTATTATGTAAGAATTAACTGTTCTTTCAAATTTTGGTAGAATTCATCTGTAAGACCATCTGGGGCCTGAGATTTGGGAGATATAACTTCACCAATTACATTTAAAATGTTGATTGGTCTGTTTTGCCAAAGGTGGGAATTAGCCCGTGGCTATAAAGTCCAGGCCCATCTTTGTCCCTTTATCACATGGCTGAGCCTGCCCTTTGTCATCATTCCTGTACTCCCTGTCTACCTTCTAGGCCCTCAAAGCAAATTCACTTACTACATCCCTAAGTGATGTCCTCCCCTCTCCTACAACAGAATTTTGGAACACTTTATCTTCATCCTTTGAACCCTGCATTTAGGTGTACAGCTTGAGTGGTTATTTATTTATTTATTTACTCATTTATTTTGAGAGAGAGAGAGAGTGCATACATGTATGAACAGGGAAGGGGAGGGCGGGGAGGGGATCCCAGGCAGGCTCCATACCAGCATCACAGAGCCCGAAGCAGGGCTTAAACCCATGAACCCTGAGACATGACCTAAATTGAAATCAAGAGTCAGGCACTTAACCGACTGAGCCACCCAGGTGCCCCACATCTTGGCTGTTTTTTCTTGATTTCTGTATGAGGATTTTAGTCCTACCCAGCAGGTAGTGTATCAGGTGAGCCCTAGTTGGCTTCTTAGAATATCTGCTGTTCAGGCTTTTCCAGAGATTATGACCTTGGCTTTGCTAAAGTGCAGGCCTTACCAAAAGCTCTCAGAGAGAGCCTGCCCTTACCATCTGGTTTAAAGACTCCTCCTACTCCATTCCTCTGTCCCAACACATGCTGCTTATTGCCGTACAGCACCCTTCCCAACCTGTGATTGTCTTGTGTGTTTATTCTATCTCCCATGGCCCCTGTAGACACTTCCTGAAGGTGGGGTGTGTCTATCTTGCATACTGCTGTATTGCCAGGAGACCAGGAGTGCCTTAGCAAAATGCCAACACAAAGGTGCTCCATAAATATTGAATGAATGAAAAACTCAAGAGATGTGCATTTCTGGAGGATCTTCTGATGATCATGAGTTCTTTCTTTTCTATGAATTCTGAATTTTCTTCCTTGGATCAAATTAAAAAGGGCTTTGCTCTTGATATAGTGTTTTGGTGTCTCATTGAATTGCCTTTTCTGGACTGTGCTTTGGCAATATGCCAACAGCTTTCTTTTACCAGTGATTACAAAAATAGACATAGAAGAATCACTTTGTATTTCAAGTAGAGATGTTGTCAAGGACATTTTCAACTATATTATATGCTTCTCATAGAATATACCTATAGGAAAATTTTTTCTTAGGATAAAAGCATCTAATGGTTGTTTTGTTTATTTATTTTTGAGAGAGAGAAAAAGCACAAGTGAGGGAGGGGCAGAGAGAGAGGGAGACACAGAAGCAGGCTCCAGACTCTGAGCTGTCAGTACAGAGCCTGATGTGGGGCTTGAACCCATGAACCACAAGATCATGACCTGAGTGGAAGTCAGACTCTGACCTGAGTGGAAGTCAGACGCTGAGCTGAGTTAACCGACTGAGCCACCCAGGTGCCTGTTTTTGTTGTTGTTGTTTATTTATCTATGAGAGAGAGAGAGAGAGAGAGAGAGTGTGTGTGTGTGTGTGTGTGTGTGTGTGTGTGTGTGAGCAAGGGAGGGGCAGAGGGAGAGGGAGACACAGGATCCAAAGCGGGCTCCATGCTGACAGCAACGAGCCCAGTGTGGGGCTTGAACTCAGGAACCGTGAGGTCATGACCTGAGCCGCAGTTGAACACTCAACTGCTCTACTGACTGAGCCACCCAGGTGTCCTTCATGGGTTTGTTTTTATTTTATGGCCACCGAGTTTCAAATCTGAGCATGTTTCCCCTGCTTTCGCCTTAGGAAATTCAGAGCTAGAATTCCAACTGTTGTGTGGAACTGTATGAGACTCATTTCTGCAAGCTCTTTTTTCCTTCTGAATTTTTATTTCTTACCCACTCTCTTTGCCCTGAATACCTCTTATTTATTTTATGGCAAGGGTTTCTCCTGTCTTGAACACCATAATATGTGCTAGGCATTTTACATATCATCCATTTAATCATAGCCAGCTGTGAGACTGGGATGTTGTCTCTCCTTTACAAATGAGGTTGGTGAACTTAAGTCACTTGTTTGTGGGCACACAGGTAGCAAGTAGAGAGAGCCAGAAAGCAAACTGTTCCGACTCCCAGGTACATGCTGCACCTGCTGTCCAGGCAGTCTATAAGGGTGGTCTCCTTGTTAAAATTCAGGTTCCTGGGCACCATTCACAACATGTTAGACAAGACCCTCTTTGAGTTGTGGGAGCGGCCAGTGATCTACATTTTAAAAGGTGTCCCAAGTGACTCTCATACATCCAAAAGTTCAAGAATTCCTGTACACGCCATATAACTATATGCCCTCTGTTAAGATACTGCACATAGCTTTTCTAACAATTTTTCCTTAACCAAACATGTTACTTTCTGTAAAACATCAAGTCTGTCATTGCTGCTGACCTTGGTTGTATGTAGATATTCATGTGTTATTATTTGCTTATCTCCTCTTTGGTTAATTTCCTTGAGGACATAGTTCCCCAAAGTGTCCAGTATGTTTTAGCCCAGCAAAGAGCAGTTTTAAGGGGGAGATATATGTACTGTGGTTGGCTGTCGTGTGGAAGGGAGATGACCTTTGTTCTTTGTAATTATAGAGGGTAGAACCACACCAGTGCGGTGGGTGCTGCAGAGAGATGAGGTTTCTGCAGACTTCCGTTGAATTTGTATAAGAAGCATGTGTTCACCTATAAGCCCTCGGGTAGCTCTCGATGGGAAACAGCAAGAAACTCAGTGCAGTGGTGAGCACCAAAGGACACCTAACATGGGATGCGGCAAACCTTTCCAGAAGGAGGAGTCCCTGGGCTGGCCTTAATGAAAGCACAGAGGTACCCAGACAGAAGCGGGCAGGCATCCCAGGCCACTGTGCATAAGGTAACATGAGGCTCAGGGCTTTGCAGGAGTAGGAATAATCAGTCCTACTTGAGCATGTGAGCTTGGATGGGTGTTACGACCCCTCAGGGTTCACCCTGCAACCACTAGCTGTAAACTGCAGATAGGTAAGGACCTGAGTTTGCTCTAAATGGTCCTAATATTTTATATCAGACAGGCCTCCAGTCTTAGCATCACGGGCTGATGTATCCAGAAGTTAAGACTTGTGTGAGATCAGGGAAGTGTCAGTAGTGCTCTGTGTAGGAAGAAGTTTTAATACTGGTTTTTATGAACGCTATAACGTGTAGCCTACCAGCAACTCAGCAGGATCTGGTCCCTGGGATGCTTAGCATGGCTGGAGGCATCTGGCCCTCCCCGGAGTGCTCAGAGCCACAGCCCCATTCTGTAGCCTGATCAGGGCCCATCTGGTTGTTGCAGTGCAAGCCACATGGATGGCCTACGACATGGTGGTGATGCGCACCAACCCCACACTGGCGGAGTCCATGCACAGGCTGGAGGATGCCTTCCTCAACTGCAAGGAGGAGATGGAGAAGAACTGGCAAGGGCTGCTCACTGAGACCAAGCACAAACAGTAGGCCCCCTGCCCACCCACGGCCACCGTGCTTCTGCCTGCCAGTGTGGAGAAGCCCCGGGGGCACAGAGCCCTCTCTGCTTGGCAGAGTAACAGCAACCGTAATATATAGCTGTATGGACTGTACTTGTTTTTCAATAAACTTATTTTTAAGAGCAACCTGAGGACCCCTTTCTGTCCTACCCAGCAGCATAGCGAGCCTTGTGAGCAAAAAATGAGAATCATAAGATGTAGATGCTTTCAATGAATTAAACGTATTTAGTGCCAGTAGTACCAAGGATGGAATAAAAAGCAAAATAAAAAGGGCCAGATGGGGCAAACCAGGGCACACGGTGGGACAGGCAGCAGTGTTCAGTCAGATTTATTTACCTTCCTGTGATGGATTCCAAAATGAGTAAAGGGGAACATTATCTATTCATCCTGGGCACTGCGCTAGGCGCTCACATGTGTCCTTATGCCCTCACAGCTCTCCTGAGTAACAGATGTTCATTTTCCCCACTACACAGATGGGAAGAATGGAATCCGATGTCTCGGCTAAGTCCGCAGCTAACAAGGGAAAGAGCTCAGGTGAAACCTGGGTCTCACGTAAGAACAGGGGGTGGTGGGAAGTGAGGCTGCTTCTGGAGGGGCAAAGCGGTGGGGAGAGACCCCACAGGCTGCAGAGGGGCATGAGCCCAAGTGGTTACAGGCAGGGGCTACAGTCAGCAGAACAGTTTCACAGGCAAGGGTTCCAGGCCTCTGGGGACCAATCGGACAAAGGAGGGCTACAGAGTTTTTCCCAGGAAGACCCAAACCAGGCTCCCAAGGCCTGAGGCAAGAACATTTTCCTGGGGACTCTCTGTTCCTTGTTCCCCTGTCCCATTCCCTTACAGACCTCTTGCCCAGCTTGGAGCCCTAGGGACAGAACGGAGAAGTGTGACTATCTCTCTAGCCACCTCCTTCCTTGGCTCAGCAGTCAGCCCCTCTGCAGGCCAAATCCTGGTCTTCAAGGACACATCGGTCCCTGGCTCTCAAAGCACCAGAGGGACCCCCACACAGATTTTTCCAGGCAGTGCAGTGCTGCAAGAGGGAACCTGGCTCCTGGGAGCCCAGAGAAGGGGGGGAGGAGGAGGAGGAGGAGGAGGAGGAGCCCCCTGGAGGAGGGGCTGGGCTGTGTGAGCCAGCTGAGGCGTCAGGGCAAGAACTAAGCGGAAAAGGCAGTAAACAGCATGCTGTGGTGGGAAGGTTAGAAGCCGGCTTCTAACCAAGATGCAAGGAGCCTGAGCTCCAGGGGGAGAGGGCTCTTTCAGGGAAGGGGGTAGGGAAGGGGGAGATCATGAGCCTTATTAGAACAGAAAAACAAAGCTGTCCCGGAAACAACAGCAGAAGGTTCTGCCAGCCACCTCCTGTGCTCCACTTGCCCTCAGACCCCCAGGCCCAGGGTCTCCCTAGAGAGCAGCAGCTCAGAGGGCTGTTTGCAGCCGGTCGGTGGCAGGCAGAGTCAAGATGAATGGACAGAGGACCCCCTTACTCCCCAGAGGAAAGGGCTGCAACTCCCTGGCCTGGAACTGGGCAGTCCCCTCAGAGACCGTAAAGGTGGCGGTGACCTGGTGGTTGAGGCAGTAAATGGTGTTGCCCAGTGCGGTGCAGTGCAGGGGGGCCGGGTCGGGCAGGGGCAGGGAGGCAGCCCGGCTCCAGGAGCCCGTTACAGTGTTGTAGCGCATCACCGCAGCGCCCACACCCCGCAGCAGGTCGAAGCGGTACAGGAAACCCCCCAATGCCACCATGTCGCTGGGACGCCGGTGGCTGGCACTGTAGGGGCACTCATCCCACGCATCCTTCGCAGGGCTGTACCTGAGCAAGCGGTAGAAGAGGTGGCCCCCAGTGACATAGATGTCCCCACGGCAGGCCACAGCCTCGTGTGCCACAGGGAAGGTGCCCGCAGGGAGGGGCGCGCGCGAGGTCCAGGCATCCGTGCGCGGGTCATAGCGCTCCATGCTGTACAGGCACTCTCCACCGATGGCGTAAAGAAGCCCATCCAGGGCCACCAGCTTGAGCTGGGCACGGGCCTGCTGCATGGGCCGCACCTGGCTCCAGATGTTGGTCAGTGGGTTGTAGCAGAAGACCTCGTTGGAGCAGACAGCCTTGGCACCGGAGCCGCGGATGCCCCCCGCCAGGAACAGGTAGTTGTGCATGGTGCAGAGTCCACAGCCCCGCAGCGGGGCCTCCTCCGGCACCTGTGTCAGGGGCCGCCATGTGTTTTCTTGGGGGTTGAACACGTGCAGGTGCGTACGAGGAGGCAGGGGTGCGGGTCCCACCGTAGGGGCCTCCTCCCCACAAGGGCCCCTTGTGAGCCCCGAGCGGCTCAGCGGGTAGAGGCTGGGCAGCACAAGGACCCCCACCACCGCCTGGCCCCGGCCCGTCCGGAGGCTCAGGATGCGCTCCCGCTCGGCCCCGCTCAGCTGCCGGTAGAGGCCCGGGTCTCCTAGCACGTGCAGCAGATTGTCGCTCATCAACGCATAGGTCTCCTGCACCAGGCCAGGCTGCCCGTGCTGCTGGGCAAAGGCCAGTACATCCAGGCAGCTGCCCAGGTCCAGCCGCTGTCGTCGAGCCGCGGCCAGAGTGGGCTCCTGGGCTAGGGAGCTGGGCTTCCGAGGCCCCTCCGCCACCCCCCAGCTCCCGGGCCTCTGCAGAAGCACCTTGAGTTTTCGGGCCTCCTGCTTTTCTGTGAGGACTGCCCCGCTGCCTGCAGGGCGGGGCCTCTCCCCTGGAGCCTCTCCCTCCTGCCTCAGTGGTACCATCTGGCTGACCTCCCGCTCAGAGCTCTCTGCTATTTCACACATGCTGCGTTTCCGGGGCCGTGGGACAGGCTGTGAGACCCCCCTCGCGGTGGGGGAGGGTACAGGGCCAGGTTGCCTCTGCCCAGGGGACCGTGATGGGGCCCCGGGCATTGCGGCTCCAGGCAGTGGGGAGTCTGGATGTTTCTCATCCACTGCATCTGGCCTTGGGCCTGAGGAAGGGTCTGGAGTAGGAGCCTCCCTGGTATCCGAGCTTCTCTGCTGTTGCGGACACCCAGCCTCAGGCAGGCCCCCTGTGCCAGCTTCTGTGACCATTCCAACGGCGGAGCCGTTCCTGACCTCCAGGCTGGTGGCGGCCCCGTCGGGGGGAGAACCAGACTCTCTGTTCTCAGAGGGTGCATCAGTGCTGGGATCTCTAGGGCTCCTGGGAGCTGCCCTTGGGGCTCTCCCTTGGCGTCTCTCTTGCCTGGGGAAAGGGTGACTCCTAAGAACCATCGAAATAAGGTTTTCCCAGCTAGATGAGATCTGCCCTTCCTGGTTGTCCTTGCAGAGAGCCACACTGGGCTCCTGGGACATAGGCCTTGACTCGCTACTCGGGGTAGGGGTCGGAACTGGGGCTGGGGCTGGGGCTGGGGCAGGGGCTGGGGAGGAGGGCGGAGTTGGATCAGGGGCAGGGGCAGGGGCTGGGGCTGGGGCTGGGGCTGGGGCTGGGGCTGACACTGCCCTGAGAGTTTCATCCTCGGCAGAACCCTGACTAACTCTGAGGGACAAAGAGTCTGAAGGCGAGGAGGTCGGAAGGGTTGAGCCTGCCGGTAAGAGGCCTCCGTGAGGATGTGCTGTGGGCGGGGAAGCCAAGGGCGGGAGGGGCTTAGGGATGCGCGGGGAGAGCGTGGCTGAGCCGGGGGTGTCTGGGGGGCACTTTTCTGTGTCCAGACTGCCTGCCTCTTGCCCGCTGCTCTGCCCACGCTGGCCTTGCCAAGATGGTCTCCCTTCTAGGAGGCCATGGCCCCGTTGCTGCTCTGCCCCGCCTGGCCCTGAGCTGAAGAAAGAGCGGTCTCCAGAGCCTTGAGCCCCAGCCTTTACCGCATTGCTGGCGTCTGCGGTCCCCCGTCCTTGAGGCAAGAGTGGATGTCCGCATTGCGACCCCTCTGGCCATGGGCCCATGGAGTCTGGGGTCTGGACGAAGCTCCTCTCCCACGGCCAGCCTTCCACGGAGGCTGGGGGTCCCTGAGACTCCCTGGGAGCCTGGGGCCCAGCCTCCCTGCTCTCCAGAGCTAGGACTGAGGCTGGATGGAGGCTGCTCTCCCTGTGCCCCTTCACTGTGCCCTCTGTCAAAGGCCCAGTCTGCGTGGCACGTGGTGGAGGCAGCTCCAAGGGGAGAGGAGGCCGCTGGGAGCCTGTGGAGAGGCTGCTGGCTGCATCCACGGCATCCCACACACTCACCACAGAGCCCAGGCGGAGGGGGTCCAGCTTTGGGAGGCGGCGGTGTCTATCTTCTGAGCCTGGGTCCACCTGCCACCGCCGGCTTCTTCGACCTCTCTCTAGCGAGCCAGGTGGCCCTACACCTTGTTGCCAGGGGCTGGTGTCCTGTTCTGCTGTGTGGACCAGGGCCTGGTGAGCTGGCACCTTGGCTTGAACACCTCCTGCCTCCACTTGCCCTTCAGTCTCTCTGCCAGGACTCCGAGGGGTGAAGTGTATCAGGAGGGGGCCGGATGTCCCCCCTACTTTGCTCCAACCCAGGAAGGCAGTATCTGGCCTGAGAGGCTCCCTTCCTTTACCTCGCAGGGCTTCCGGAGTGGCACTGTCGTGCTGCCGTCCCAAGGCCCCTCCACTGGCCACCTCGCCGGGTGTCTTGACTGGAGGTGCCGCTGTGGCAGCCAGGCCACCTCCCCGGAGCTCCTGATCTTGGGCCCCTGCTGCAGCTGGACTCCCCTGGCCACGTCCTGGAGGGTCTGGCTGCCCCTGCCCTGAGCTGTGTCCCTCGACACCACCACTGACCTTGGGCTGCAGGGGCAGGGCTGGGCTGGCTCCTCCAGCCTGTAAAGGCTGGGCCCTGGGGGTTGTGGATGCAGGTCCTGCCGCTTCCTGGTCCTGCCCAGAGCCAAACCAGTGCAAAGCCAGTGCCGTGGCAGCCACCACAGCCAGCGCCAGCAGGGTGAGGACAGCACTGTCCCAGTCATCCTCCCCATCCCAGCCCCAGCCGGGGCCATCAGGCTCCAAGGCCCCCTGGACCATGGTGCGGGGCTGCAGACTCAGCATGAGGAGCTGGGTCGCAGGCTGGAAGCTTGGAGTGCTGCCTGCAAGTCTGTCCCACACTCGGGCCTGGACTGCTGTCTGCACAGGCATCAACAATGCGCCCCGCCCACAGGGCTGCCCAGTTAAGGTGGACCTGTGCTGGGGGACAGTCTCTCTGCCTGGCCTGGGGGGGGGGGGTGTCTCTTCGCCCACACCCGGATTGGGGGTTTGTCTAGGTGGAGCTGTCAGGAGACAACATAATGCACAAGAGCTCCAGGAGCTCAGGGCCTCTGCAGGCAAACCCGCCCCTTCTCTTTTTTCCACAGGTTCCAGTGGCGAGTGACATCGTTCCTCAAAGCTGTTCCGGTATCCCAGACCTTCACAGACCCTCACAGCCCCCCAGATCTCCACCCTATTGTTCCAACTCTCAGCCTGTGTCCAGCCTCAGAGGCTCTGTTAGGGAAGAGCATAGTGAGATGCTATCTGTAGCTCTAGCAACATGATGCAGCCCTGATGAAATTACCAGAAACCCAAGAAGACGATTCCACTGTGGGCCAGTGGGGGAGGGGTGGGCGGGCACATACTCCATGGTGCCAACCCTGCAGGCTGGCCTGTGAGAGAGACCATGGAGGGCATGGTGTCCTGACAGGAAGCTCTGCCTTAGAAAGTGCAACCTCCTGTCACCTCAGGTGTGAAGTAGAGATTTGCACTATTGTCTCCCAGGATGTATAGGGGTGCGTGAGAGGGGCCAAGGCTGAAGGCCCCACCTCCCCTCCTCCGGCAGCCTCTGGACCTCCCTTACCCTGAGTTCAGCAGAGATGGAATAGTTTTCCAAAGGAATTTTCTAAGCTGTCAAGAGGGGGGAAAAATGAACAAAATAAAGAAAATCCAAAAGTTGTACTTTTCTCTTTATTAGCCTGTCTTATTAGAAACCCACCTGCCCTTTCTAGAGCCTCCTAGGCCTCCCCCTGCACCCTGTGGGCCATCTTGACGGCTCCAACACCTCTCTCCTGGTGCCCCCACAGAACCCTAAGCTCAGCCTGCTGTCACCCCTGGTACATCATCATCCAGCCACCAGGATCACTCAGAGACCCTCGTCTGAACCCAGGTACTCTATCAACCTGATTTCTGGGTGTCCCATCTCATTCCTTGGCCTTCCGTCATCTTCGCCAAATCCCTCCGCCCCAGCCTCTTCACTGAAACTCAGCCCCCTCGGGCATGTGCCTGGCCTCCTTCAGTTTGGTTTCTCAGCTAAGGAGCCATGTCTCCTCCGTCTGCTTCACACTTAAGCTGATCTCAGGAATAAGTCTTGGGACAGGTAGAACACAGATATGAATAAGAGCCAGGAGCCTCTGGGACAAAGGCAGGGCCCTCATAACATGTACTTGTTCCTTCCTCCAGGACACAGGACTTCTCCCTCAGGCAGTGAGATGGCCAAGGAGCATCCCTGGCACCCAGCCTGCGCTCTGCTAGAACTCAGGTACCTCACCCATCTGATCGCTTCCCAGCTCCCCTGAGCATATTAGATGACAGTAAGAGGGAGGAAGGTGTGCCCATGCCTTAAGGTGGACCTCAGTTTGGTGTCAGGCTTTATGGGCACTGCCCTTATTCCTGTCCCAGTCCTAGGCTCTACCTCTTGGTTGTTTGGGGTCCAGAGACCTAGAAAGAATGGAGATGGAATACCCACCTGCACCTTACAGGCCACAGCACCTCATCAGGCCTTTCTGCCTAGCTTCTGAAGACACCCGTTGTTAGTCAGGGCCCCAGGCTGCTGTCAGAGAACAGAAGTGTCCACCAAGTGATACCTTAGGGTGCCGTGGTGGGGAGGAACCAGCACAGAAAATCATCCCAATCAGTTTCACAAGGTGTCAAGGACCATGATGGGTCTTGGTGGCACATGGGTGACCAAGGAAGGGTCTAGTCCCGTCCTCTGCGAAAAGAAAACACCTCCCTTTGTCAAAATCCAGGTGGAAGGCAAAACTCTGTGGCATGGAGAAACTCCCCGTTGGGAAGGTGACTGAGGAAATGTTCCCTCCCTAAGTTGTGGGAGATTTGCCCTCCTAACTTCCCAGAGAGAGTAAAAATGTAGTACCACCGGAAAGGTGACAGAACATGAAGTCACCTACACAAATTGTGAAATGAAAGTAATTGTTATAGTTGTACTATGAGACAGAGTAAGTATCAAAATTACCATCAAGGTAAAAAGCAAACATGAACAAAGTAGATCCCTAGAAGGTCTGACCTTTAGTGGCCTCCTGTTGAGGCAGAAACCCTTCTCCAATCTACAAAAGGAAGAGAGACGGCTTCATGCCTGGTACGTGAAGCTTGTTTCCTCAGACAGTACAAAACGGGAATGGAAGGGTCTCCTTCCTATCAGCTGTCACCACCATCCGTGCACTGGGCGCCTGGGAGCAGAAAATGCATCCACATATGAGCTGATCCACTGTAGCTGCTCATAGAAAACCCCAGCACTGCCTGGTCACTGAGCCTGAACAAAGCTGGACAGTGCCCTGGCCACCAGGGTGCCCTTTGTAAAACATTTAGTGGAAGAAAAGCACAGTGACATGATGACATAATTCCAAATGGAGAATACACGAGATGGTGGAGAGCAGCAAACCTCACCAAATGTAGGGTTTCTCTATCATTGGAATTTTGTAAAAGTAGGAAATATTTATCATCAGAAATGATATAAAAGAGAATACAACATTATATAATATTTATAAGTTAAAAGTATACATGTATTTTTATGTATGTATAAATAAACGTAGAATAAGTTTTAAGGCTTAGAAAATATAAATCCCAGATTTAGGGGTGCCTGGGTAGTTCAGCATCTGAACTAACAGCTAGTCGGTTAAGCATCTGACTCTTAGTTTCAGCTTGGGTCATGATCTCGCAGTTCATGGGTTTGAGCCCCACGATGGGCTCCGTGCTGTCAGCATGGAGCCTTCTGGCATTCTCTCTGTCTCTCTGTCTCTGTCTCTCTCTCTCTCCCCCTCCTCTGCTCTCTCTGTCACTCAAAGTAAATAACTTAAAAAAAATTTTTAAATAAAAGAATTAAATACTTGGTAATAAATCTAACCAAGGAGGTGAAAGACTTGTATGCTGAAAACTACAAACATTTTGCTGAAAGAAATTAAAGACCTAAGTAAATGGAAAGCCATCCCATACTCATGGATTGGAGGACTTACTATTGCTAAGATGTCAGTACTACCAGGGCGCCTGGGTGGCTCAGTCAGTTAAGCATCTGATTCTTGATTTCAGCTTAGGTCATGATCTCGCAGTTCATGGGATCAAGCCCAATGTCAGGCCCCACACTTGAGTGTGGGGTCTGCTTGGGATTCTCTGTCTCTCACTCTGCCCCTCTCCCCAACTCATGCATGCACTCTCTCTCTAAAATAAAATAATAATAATAATAATAATAATAATAATAATAAAGATGTCGATACTACCTACAGTGACCTATAGATTCAATGCAACCTCTATCAAAATTCCAATGCTCACTTTTGTAGAAATGGAAAAACCAACCCTCAGATTCATATGGAATTGCAAGAGGCCTCAAATAACCAAAACAATCTTGAAAAGAATAAAATTAAAGACCTCACACTTCTCAACTCCAAACTTAGTACAAATCTACAGTATTCAAAACAGTGTGTGGTATTGGCACAAGGACAGACATACAGACCAATGGAATAGAAGTGAAAGTCCAGAAATAAATCCATGCATCTATGACCAGTTGATTTTTGGCAAGGGTGCAAGGGCTTTTCAATGGAGAGAGAATGGTCTCCTTGATAAATGGTGCCGGGATAGCTGGATATCCACATGCAAAAGAATAAGTTGGACCCCTACCTCATGCTGTATTAAAAAAAAAAAAATTTAAAATGGAACAACAATCTAAGTTAGATAAAACCATAAAACTCTTAGAAGAAAAGCATAAGGATAAACATTCATGACCTTGGATTTAACAATGGATTCTTAGATATGACAGCAATAAAAATGAACAAAATAAGAAAAAAATAGATAAACTAGATTGCAGTGAAGCATAAAGCTTTTGTTCAAAGGACATTATCAAAAAAATGACAACTTTCAGAATGGGAGAAAATATTTTCAAATCATATTTCTGATAAAGGTCTAGTATCCAGAATATATAAAGTACCCTTACAACTCAACAACAAAAAGACAACAACCCATTTTTAATGTTTATTTTTGAGAGACAGAGTGTGAGCTGGGAGGTTCAGAGAGAGAAGGAGACATAGAATCTGAAGCAGGCTCCAGGCTCTGAGCTGTCAGCACAGAGCCCCGATGCGGGGCTCGAACTCACGAACCTTGAGATTATGACCTGAGCCGAAGTCAGACACTTAACCGACTGAGCCACCTAGGCGCCCAACAACCCATTTTTTTTAATAGGCAAAGATCCTGAATAGGCATTGCTCTAAAGAAGATACATAAATGACCAGCAAGCACATGAAAAGATGCTCAACGTCATTAGGGAAATGCTAATCAAGACTGCAGTGAGGTACCACTTCACATCCACTAGGATGGTTACCAATTAAAGAGATAGAAAGTAGGAGCTCCTGGGTGGCTCAGTCGGTTAATCATCCAAATCTTGGTTTTGGCTCAGGTCATAATCTCACAGTTAATGAGTTTGAGCCCCGCGTCAGGCTCCGTGCTGTCAGTATGGAGCCTGCTCAGGATTCTCTCTGTCCCTCCCCTGCTCATGCATGCTCGCTCTCTCTCTCTCTCTCAAAATAAATAAACTTTTTAAAAATCCTGCTAAAAAAAATTAAACATACAATTACCGTATGACCCACCAATTTTAGGCATATACCTAACAGAATTAAAAATAGACCCTTAAATAAGCATTTGTACATACATGCTCATAGCAGCAGTATTCATAATAGCCAAGAGGAAGAAACAGCCCAAACGTCCATAATGTATAATTAACATTATGCTGAGTGCAATAAGCCGGACACAAAAGGACAAATATTCTGTGTTTCACTTATAAGAGGTACCTGGAGTAGTCAAATTCATAGAGACAGAAAGTAGATTAGGGTTAACAGGGACTGAGAGAAGAGAAGGAGTTTTTTTTTTTTAATGAGCACAGAGTTTATGTTGGCCATGATGAACAAGTTTTGGGTAGAGACAGCCCCCAGCAGTGTGCATATAGAGAACTAAGGTGTGTGTAGGAGGAACCGAGCAACGGGACACGGACATCAACCAAGGCCTTGCTGTGTCTTGGCAGACTGGCTCAGTCAGGGTGGGTCTGTTGTCAACAAAGCCTCCTAAAGAGTGAAGGGATGTCTAGACTTCTGCCTCAACAATTTAGAAATTCTGTTGGGTTCACTAGGCTGACAGCTGCTATCAACAACCAGTAGTTAATAAATAAATCAAGGAGTAACAGCTGAGAAATGTGTTTTCTTTACATGTATTTCAAATAACTTGAAACATACATATTCCCACAGACATGCACGTTATACAAGTGCACAACACACACAACTGGCTGTGTGATCTAGGAGTAGCGTCCTCCCTTCCCTTCTCTGGCCCCCACCCAGGAACACATCAGCTTGTGTAAGAATTCGTTTGTTTTATTCTTTACATTTTATTTTGTTTCTAATTTTTGTGTTTTTTCCCTCCTCCCATCACCCCCATGGAGGGGGAGGTCAGGGGGTTTTGTTTTTGCTATTCTCTGTTTTCTTGCTTTTTCATTTGGAAACTCTCCTATAGTTTTCTATTACACTGCTGTTCATTTTCCTGCCCTGCTCTCTTAATGCAGACACTTATGACTGTACCACTGGTCACAAACAAGAAGTTTAATATGCTCTCCTAACAAGATCCCTCCACAAGATAAAACCTCTAGAATAATTTCTCTCTCCCATTTCTCTCCCTGTCTCCCCATCTCCATGAGAAGTTTGGAAAGATTTTACCTCTCCCAAGCATCTGTTCTACTGAAACAGTTTAATCTTTATTCGAACCTCCCCCACACCGTGTTTGTGTGTGTGTGTGTGTGCGTGCGCGCGCCTGTATAGGGATAGAGATTCCTTGCTCAACAACGTTTCTTCCTGGCCGCTGTATCAGGGTCTGGTTCTGGTGTATCTGCCGTTTGTCTTTCATCTTTCCCTACTATTTTCCTCGCTGCCCCCTGGATGCTCTGCCCCTGACTTCTGGAACATTCCAGCCCTGTGCTGTGCTCTGGCAGGTGGAGGCTGTTCCGACTGGGCCGTGGGCTCCAGGCTGTGTCTTTTCCTACCGTGATCTTGCTATCCCACCGTTCTCCAGCGCCTGGTGTTGAAGAGGACAGACCTGATGCCATTCTGACTTTTCTTTTTGTAGGTAATTTGGGTTTTCTTCCCAGAAGCTTATAGGGCATCTTTTCTTAGAAGCAGATCATTACGTTTTCTTAGCAGGCCACCCTGGGATTCAGGGATCTCTTTGCTTCCCAGACTTGAGTCTGTCTCCAGCTGAGCAGAGTTCTCTTCTACTTTTCATTGAAGTATGGCCTCTGTGCCACCCTTGCCTTTTTCTCCTTTGGGAACACCCGCATCTAGTCACATACATCTGTGCCTCTCCTCCAACAGGCTTATCTTTGTTCCTCATGGTTTCCATCTCCTTTTGTTTCCTATGCTTTCTACGTGGTGGTCCAGGCCACCTGTTCACATTTCAGCCATGACCATTCTCTGCCGTAGTTCAGATACTGCAAGTTTGAGACTGGCATCATTGTTCTATTGTGCGACCATCACCTTCGAAAATTTCGGTTTGCCGCGGAGTTGTTTTCGAGCGTATACTTGTGCGCATTGCACTTGTCCTTCCTCTGTGCTCAGTGTTTTTTATTCAGGAGTTTAGCTATCTTCCTCATCCACGGTTCCATTTCACTAGCTTCGGGAAATTGGCCTTCCTCAGTCTCAGTAATATCACACAGCTGGCCAGTGCAGGCTTCTTGAAATGTTTTCTCAGCTCAGCCCTCACTGTGCCATTCCTCTTGGTTGTCCTTGTGCCTCACTGGTTGCTGGTTCCTCCCCTTGTTGCCAGCCACAAGTGTGCCTGGGCCTGTTGTGGGCCCTCCCAAGCCTTGCGGATGGCAATGACCGTCGTGTAGTTCCTGTCACACGGTTGCTGTGCTACCACATGAATGATGCCTAATGTGGGCCAGACAGCAAGATGGCCCGATAACGTAAGAAGAAATTGCCCCAGGAACCGTGATGTCGATCTAATGATGTTCGTCGAAAATGGCACCTTTGACAGCCATGTAAGGTACTTGTGGGGGAGTTTATGTCACAGTAATGTGGTTGGGGATGGACGTGTCTTCCTGCAATCTGACCCGCTCTCACTGTAGATGGCAAAATATCGCTCTACCAACATAACCATCACCCAGGAGGACCACAGAACCTTGAGAAGATGTGCTCAGCAAATGTCACACCACCTGATGGCTTATGGAATAGCTGAGATGTGGCCTTAGACCCAAGCCCAGGAGACTGTCGCTTCTTTGTGATTTATGTATCAGAGTGCTCATTTCTGCCAAATCTCTAGCCTGGGACTGCCCTAGTGGCCGAGAATCCAGTGCTTTTCCTTTCCTTCACCCACATCCGCTCTACGTCAGGGGTTCACAATGTCTGCTTTTGTAAAGAGCCAGGTAATAACTATTTTTGCCTCTGCAGGTCATATGGTCTCCGGTAACTACTCCGCTTTGCTATTACAGCATGAAAGCCACCATAGAAAACAGTAGATGAGGCAGGCTGGCTTAGTAGCCCCTGCTCTAAGGGATCCCATCCATTCCCAGGGCTTGAGGATGCTTTCCAGGCC